GGGGGGCTTCTTTTAAGAACCATACAATTTGTGAGATCCAATATAAACCACAAATTAAATTAGGAAATTAATAATTTCGGTAATTTTGAATTAATAAAGATCATTATTGATAATTTACGAATTTTCTCTCATTTATCATCTCTCCTCTTTCTCTTTCCTCTTATTAACAAAATAATCTAAAAATAAATAAAACTAAACCTAACACATTGTGAACACCTAGTAACCTAACACGTATCACCAAGTAACCCATCGTGATTACAAGTGAACATAACGTGGACACAAAAACACCAAAGACATAAGACCAAAAAACTACATATCACTAAAAACATTTTGCAAGGACTTTGATGCACACTGTGAACAAAATCAATAATCAAGTTCGAACAGCCGTCAAACATCTCTGTTGAACCCAAAACCAAAAATCTATGGTATCATGATGTGAACCACCATCAAATATATTGTTTCAATTAAACATTGTGCTCACCTTGTGAACACAATGTAACACAATGACACTAAGAACAAAAAATAAACTGAAGATCCCTAAAAATATTGTGTAAGAACTTAAATACACATTGTGAACACCTATATTTTTACACATTGTGATCATCTTGTGAACACAATGTGACACATCGACACTAAGAACTAAAAAAAAAAAAATACTAGAAGTATTGTATAAGATCATGGATACACATTGCGAACAATTAATTAATGTTTTATTTGAGAAATTGTGGATTTTCTATTTATGGGGAGAATAAATTAACTAAATGCATTTATGAGTTGACTAAATTAGCTTTTATTTTTATTTAGAAAATAACATAATTATCTCAAATAAGTGGTTCATATTGGATCTCATGGATCTCACAATTATAGGGTTCTCACTTGATTAAGCCCCTATATATATGTATATATTTTTCATCAGATGCTAGGATTTAAGATATTGATTCACATATATTTGTTTAATAATGTGAAAGTTTCACATGTATTTGTTTCATCATTCGTTTCAATAAGCGAACAAAAGAAGTTTCACATTTCACAAGGCGAACACAAGTATACGTGAAACAAATATCTTAAATCATAGTTTTTGATGAAAAAATCATGTAAAAAAATATTTTTATACTGGTTCTCACAAGTTTGTAACCTTTTTGTGGTTCTCATTTGATTATCGTCCTATATATAGTCATGTTAACTATTTTTCACACTTAAAAGGTGGCATGTGTTAATTGCATGATTAATGTTTATGTATTTATTATTTGTCGATGCCTTTGGCTTTGAAGTAGGTTAACTGCTTATCATTCAATCCTTTCAATGAGTGGGTGTTAGCAACTGGGTCAACAGACAAGACTGTGAAGCTATTCGATTTACGAAAACTCACTTCTGCTCTGCATACGTTTGACCGTCACCAGTAAGTGGTCTTGCATATGTTTTGTATTCATTTGTGAAAGTTCTTCAGGATTCTTTGTTTACCCGTTTCCAACACAACTGTCTTATGTAACAGGGAGGAGGTCTTTCAGGTTGGATGGAGTCCCAAGAATGAGACAATTTTAGCATCTTGTTGTCTTGCTAGGAGACTCATGGTTTGGGATCTTAGTAGGTATGTACGTCAAGTATCCCATCTTCTGCTTTTTAAAGTACATCTTTATGTTCTTTTCCGAGATTATGATGTTTGACTTCAAAACGGGCGAGAGAGCCATCTTGAGTTCTTTACTCATCTTAAAGGAGAACACCCACAAGTTTTTTTAGTGTGGAGAGTAATAAGATCACATCTCATTTTTCTGAAGGGTATGCATTGTTTTGCTACATCCTAGATGAGTCCGAGTGTCGAATGCATTTTGGGAAACATGATAACTGATGAGAGTTGAGACAAAGCATGACGAGTAGAAGACAGATGAACTTTAGAATTATGTTCTGATACAAAGTACTCAAAGAGTCAAAGTGGTTAATAGGTTTACAGAACGACTACATTTCCTTTTCTTTTCTTTAAGCAATTGAACATGAGGCGACTTGTTATAAGATGTAGGAGGCATGCTAGAGGAAGTAGCAAAGTCTCTCTTTCCTTTTGGTAGAATCCCAAGGGATTAGGAAAGAAAGTTACTTAGAAATTCATATCTTTAGGGGGCGTTTGGTTTGCAGGATTTGGTGGGATCTGGAATTGGATTCCATCCCAATCCTGCCCTTGGTTTGAAGGAAAGTCTGGATTTGAAATATTGGGATTTCATTACATTGGATTTAGAAATCCCATGGGGTAGTTGGTACGTCACGTGATTCTATAAGATTTTTTTGTAATAATGTTTTAAAATATGTTAAACACATTCATTTTGTAATAATCAATTAATAAAAGGAATTTTGATTATTTTTATAATTGTTTATAATTTGTTTTTATAAATTATCTATAAAGAATGGAATTCAATTCCTTTCCAAATTCTACAAACCAAAGACACCAAATCCTTCCCATGAAATGCAAATCCCTCGAGAACATTCCGTCAAACCAAACGCCCTCTTAGGGATTTTGCTTATAGATACAAGACATTTGGGGAAAAGATGGCATATGAAGAAGTACAATGTGAAAATCATGGTCAGAGAGTTGTACTGAAACAGTCCTACATGAATTCAGGTGTCATTAGGAAGCTTAACGAGAGAATACGTAGCAGAAACAGAGTTAAGGCCTCTGAACAAATTATAAGCTGACATTCTTCATGATAAGAGAAGACTAGGGCTGCTAAGAGCTATCCACAAATTGAAGGTTTGAAAAAGTAGCATTTTGTGACAGATTGTAAAAAAGATAGTCGAAAACGGACCAGGTTATATGAAGATATGGTACACACAAATATCTGTCTGAATCAAACCAACCAAAAATTGTGAACATGAATCAATCATCAGAAGTCAAACCAGGAATTGGTTGCATCATAGATCGTGACTCGGATATCATGAGCAGACCAGAAATCTCGAATAATGTAGAAATAGCGAATATGATAGAAACTTGAGCATGGCAAGAATCAGGAACAAGGAACGGAGGGTCAAAATTGTGAAATAACATGAAAAAACAAGCAATAGCAGCAGGGAGAACACACAAGAATCAGAAAACATGAAAGCTGTGGTGGGTAGGATTTCCATTGAACCAGGGTTTCAGGAAGGATGATGGTGGCTAACTGATGACATCAACTCATAGCTCCGTGCGAAAAACATAGTTTTAGGACCTCAAAAACAATAGAATTCATCCTTGTTTTTAGGGATGATTTATACTCATTACTTAGGGTCTTTACCAAATGCTTACCCGGTAAGCACTTATTGGCAACAGGCGTCACCTTCACTTATCTTATTGGATAACATTCTCGGCCATCAAAACAAATTGTCAGTAAGCATCTCTTACCTGTAAGCGCTAACCGGGTATCAGTTTTTTCCCACATACCAGGTAAGATTCTCGGTTCTTGCTATGCACCTGGGTAAAATTCTCGATCCTTGTCATGCTTAGCTGGTAAGGTAACTAGGTAAGTGAAACCTAGGTAAGCGCTTGATAAATGGCCCCCTTAGACACAATGTTATGAATTTGCACATGTTTTCACATATTGAATTAACGAGTTACAACTCTGGTTCAACATAACCTCTTTTAACTAGTGAGCATCTTTTATATCTAAAATATGTGCCCAAATGAAAGCGATGTTTGATGTCAACTTTGAAATGCAGGATTGATATGGAGCAAACGGCAGAGGAGGCGAAAGATGGGCCACCAGAATTGCTGTTTGTCCATGGCGGGCATACGAGTAAAGTTTCAGATTTCTCATGGAACCCATGTGAAGATTGGGTGATTGCTAGCGTTGCTTCAGATAACATACTTCAAATCTGGCAGATGGCTGAAAACATCTATTATGATGAAGATGATCTCAACCCAATCTCAACAACAAACAACAACAACAACAACATCAACAACAACAACAACAACTACAACAGCAGCAACAACAACAACAACAACAACAACAGCAACAACAACGACAACAACAACAACTAGGCTTTAAATCATGTAAATATACAAGGAATTAGGTAACATTTTGGCGCTCAGAATTTGGTTACTGCTTTTTTCTAATTCACTTCATCGACTATTATCCAGGGTGTGAGCAATAAATAGAATCAATGAACATGAAGAGTTTCTTTGCATACTCATTATATACAAATGACTTGATGGATTCAGACCAATATTTTCTATGGCTGGATGTATACAGACCCGTGTCTTGTCAGGTGGATGGATTGTTTTATGTTGAGTGATGGACCTGGTTTTAGTTTATGTTGATGTTTGATGTGTGGAGTTGGTTTATGGTCCAAATAGAAAGGACCCATCTCTTCTTTGTGGATCTCGGACCAGATTCTTAGGGGTTGTTTGTTTACCTCTTAATAGTTCCATTAAGAGGTGAATTTTGTTTGACAAAAAAAGGGTCTGCTTCTTAATGATTCTAAAACGCCCTAAATGATTTTGTTCCATGGGTCTCCTTTAACCATTTATAGCCCTAATTTCGTTGAAAATAGTTACCAGATAATTATATTTCATTTTACAATATATTATGAGAGTCTCTTAATCATTCTGACCACTTAATTATTCTGCACCAAACCATTCAACAACTGTCAAACAGCCCCTAAGGACAGGTTAAATATATTTTTATATATTGTTAAATGTACGCCTATCTCTATCTACTAAATTCATTCTCACACGCATCAGTTTTGATATTTACTTTTTTACATTTCCAATAAATGATTTAACCTGATTCTGACATTAAAAAAAAGTGCATATACGTTACTTGAATATAAATGGAATTTTTGACAACATAATATTTTATTAATATATATATAAATATTTTTAATTAGATTTTTGAGTTCAATTCTTTTAAATAATCTACTGTTTATATTTTATGTTGCATTGTCTACCAAATACTTCATTATCAGTAGGACGAGTGCAAATTAATTCCAAGTGTTGATGTCATAAGACAACTCCAAACTTATATATTTCAGTACAACTTACTTTCAAGCTAAAAACCGATGCACCACTTGTATAAACGAGATCATAAAAAATCAAGCTTAGCAATTTGAGTGCCAAAGTCATTTTGGTAGCTTATATATTACCCTGACACATAGCAGATACAAATACATAACATCGTAGATGTTGGTCGATGATTCATGAACGCTCAAGTCTTAACCAGTCACTTTAATAACGAAACATACATGCATACTAAATAAAAGAATTAGAGTCAGACGATAATGTTAATAAATAAGAGCACAGGCTCTTGTTGTTTATATCTCTAAGCAAACATATAATATCAAATAGCTCGGGCACAAACTCATTTAAAACATTATACTTAGAAAAATACAAAAAACAAGCGAGAATTTCGTGACTATATTTCAAACCTTAAGGGATCAGTTCACTGACAATAACTCTTAAAATGCTTTACTTTACAAATGAAGTAGTAGTGGCCTCAACTTGTTTGAGTTGCGTTCATGCACCATAATCTCTAAAACATAAACACAAGTAATATTAGGAATAAAAATGGAACAAAATAACCACGATAAAAAATATGTTATATATATATATATATATATATATATAGGAGTGATCATATGAAAACCGCCCTCATTTGTGTAAACCGTGCAAACCACCTTCATCTGTCGATTTCATTGTTTAATCTTATGAAAATTTTTCATTAAATTGTTTAATCTTGTGAAATTGTTTCATATAATACTTTTTTTGA